TACGTCTCAAAAATTTCCCCTTTTCCGCCCCGTCCGCCTCAAAGGAAAGTTGCTAACTTTTCCACGTATAAGCCGTGAAAATCTATACTTACACTGACATGGTGTACGCTAAAACTTCGTCCTAACCCGGGGCTAAAATTCATAAACCTAGCTATAGCATTTGACGAAAATTCTTTTGGGCCCCCTTTAAGCTACACCCTGCGTCACTTCTTGTAGCCCTATGTCTCCCCGGGTGATCTTTGGGAAAAAGACTTGGAGAACTAGGGTTATCGTTCTTTTTAAAAGCTCAATGTCTACATATTTATCCCGGGGTTTAGACTAACCGCCATCTTTACAACCAGTGCAAACCCATGTTGAAGCAGAGGCGTGACAGCACCATTCACCCACTGAAACCGGTAACTGCAAGGGAAACTCGCCTAAAACAGCAGAGGGGTGCAGAGCACAACCGCACTCACCTGGTCGGGCAAAAGAATGAATCATACACAAATTTGGGGGGAACAAACCAAACGTGCCAATTTTCCCCCCTTTGTGCTGTTTGTGTACACCTAACAAAAGCCTTTCCTTGCCCCCAGGTTTCGGGGTGGCAGTTGTCTGCCCCTGCCTGGTCTGGTGGCGATAATTGACTTTACCCTACAAGAGGGGGTAAAAAGGCAAGGGTTAACACCGTTTGTGTATAAAATACTGCGGGTCTTTGCTGGATCAAATGCGAGTCCCCATACAGATCCTCGGGGGAAAAATTAGATCACCAATGAAGGCATATAGGGGTTTCCGTAAACGATGTCCCCGGGTTTTTGTCAAGTTCACGACTGTGCGGTTTTGAAGGTTTTTCACAGATATCAGGATTCGACGCATGAAACCCCCCCCGGGGGGCAGTGTCTTCAGGGGCGTGTCCCGCACTTACAAGTGGGTCAAGATTCGTAATGTCCCTTTTGAAGCTGATGAGTATTAAATCCGAAAAGCCTTCATCAAATCTGGAATGATGTACCAGTCTTACGCAGGTGTATGGGGCCAGGGCCCGTTTGAAGGTAAACCTGATGAGTCGTTTTCAGTGAAAATGTCCATCAAAATGCCCATTCCGTCGTTTGTCGTCCTCAAGGTGTTCCATACTCAGGTATATGTGTATTACCTGGGGAAAAGGAAGACGTGTCGGTTATGAGACGCTTATGGACACATGGCGTATCAGTGTGATCGTTGGCGTTCTCGGCAACAAGGTGAACAACGTTTAACTTCAGACGCTCCTGCACAAGCCCCTGAGTTCATGATAGTTCAGGACGCCCGTGCGACACCAACGCCTCAACAGCCTTCCCGCGGTGCACCTGCCACTACACCTGACTCGCCGTGTGTGACATTGCCTTGTTTGGAGAAGAGTGTTGCTGATGACGGTGTGGCAGCACCGTCAACTGATACTGTTCCGTCAGGTGAGGTCGAGTTAGGCCTCCCTGTATCGTTTCTGGAATTATATCGTACGATCGAGGAGTGTACGGCGCCACCACCCACCCCAGTGGCGTCCGATGATAGTATTGGTAGCCCGCCGTCAACGACTGTGACTACCGATAGGCCCACTACGATAATTACTAGCGTGGATGTTCATGCGCATGTGACCGAGCCTGCCCGCACCTTCGTTGACAAGAGTTCCCGTCAGCGGGCGGCATGGAATTCCAGTAGTGATGAATTGACACCTGGACAACGACCTAGAAAAAAGTTGTGGGCTGCAATTACGGCTGGTGGTTTTGAAGGTGTTGCCGGGGTGGGGGGTCTTCCCCTGGTGAATTTCGTGGAACAGACGGTGATGTCGCTCAGTGTCTATATGTGTCACGAGTGATCCCGTGTGAGGAAAGCCAGCCTCATTCCAATGTATAACTATAAATGTCAGTGGTTTACGGGCGTACGAGCAGTATTTATGTCATTTTAGACGTGATGTTGTGTTTATTCAAGAACACAATTATCGGGATGTGCGTGAATTGAAGATACGACAGTACGTTGTGTACGGTGTGAATAGTCCACGGTTGGAAGGTAGTGTGGCAGTGTTGATACAAGAGAGCAGTCCTTTTCGGTTACGTCATTGGGAAATTGCGTCTGATTGTCAGTTAGTGCGCGTTGACGGGTGGTGGGGCACGATGAGCGTCGGATTCATTAGCATATAAGGGCCTGTGGTGGGGGATGCGAATACGAAAAATCAGTTTTTTCAGGAGACGCTGGTGTATTATTTCCGGTCGCTACCCGCGGTAACCGTCGTGGGAGGTGACTGGAATTGTGTTACACTACGTCGGGATGTAGAACCACGGGGTAGTGGGTTTTATTCTCAACTTTTGGGTGATATTCTGCAAGGGGTTGCGTTGCACAATGTGGGAGGTGATGTAGTTGGTGGGGTGGATTTTACTTTTGTCAGGCAAAGTTACGCGACACGACTCGTTAGGGTTTATGTAGCGCGTGCCATTGATATACAGTGTCCAAACATATGATGAACATTTTACTGATCATCGTTCAGTATTGGTACGTCTCTTTGGGATGGTTTGCCACTAATTTGTTCCTCGGGTTTTTGGGAATTAAATTGTTAGTCTTCTAAATGGGGATGAAATTCATGATTTATTTGGTTGGATGTGGCCTCATTTATGGAACAATGGGATTTTTGTCGTAGATATTCTAGAATGATGGGATGTAAGGGGTAAACCCAGTATTAAATTCTTTTTTCGGGCTGTGAGTAAAGAGGCGATACAGTTGCGTTTATGGGAAGTTGAATTTTTTGCGACATCAATTGCGTACGTGTTACGAGCCACGTGCAGCGTATCAGTTATTTCAGGGGGCGTGGACTGCGGCATGTATTGATAAAGTTCTTTGGGGTGACCTACCATCTGCGTATGTTCTCCTTGAACAAGGTCAGCGTCGTCGGGCGTTAATATAACGAGATTTACGGTGCGGGATGGGGTTGAGACCTTCCCGTCGGATACGACGATAATGAATACCGATCGTATGAGTCTTTATGCTGGCATAGTTTACCGTGATACATTTAGTGGTAGTCGAGATCGTACTGTTGCCATGGACGTCGTCCAGTCGTGGGTGACTAGTAAATTAACGGAGGATGATCAACTATGTGCTATGGGGCCTGTTAGTGCTGATGAAATACGGACAACCTTACAGGACATGAAAAAGGGAAAGTCGCCGAGGTCAGACGGGTTGCCATGTGAATTTTACTTAGAATTCTGGGGCGAGTTACGTGGGTTTCTTGTTCGGTTATTAAATAGTATGAAAAATCAGGATTGTTTAAGTAAGACACAGCGAGAAGGTATTGTGGTCCTTGTTCCGAAAAATACCGAATGTACTGATGTATATGATCACAGGGCGATTATCCTGTTAAACGCTGATTATAAATTATATGCAAAAATTTTGTGCAGTCGCCTTAAACCCATCATAGAGAAGGTTTTACGACTGGGCCAGGCTGGTATCCCGGGGCCAGGCTGGTATCCCGGAGCCAGGCTGGTATCCTGGGGCCAGGCTGGTATCCCGGGATCAGGCTGGTATCCCGGGGCCAGGCTAGTATCCCTGGGTCAGGCTGGTATCCCGGGGCCAGGCTGGTATCCCGGGGCCAGGCTGGTATCCCGGGACCAGGTTGGTATCCTGGGGCCAGGCTGGTATCCCGGGGCCAGGCTGGTATCCCGGGGCCAGGCTGGTACCTCGGGGCCAGGCTGGTATCCCGGAGCCAGGTGGTATATATATATATATATATATATATATATATATATATATATATATATATATATTATATATATATATATATATATATATATATATATATATATAAATATATATAAAAGCCTTGTAGTCAGTCTGGGTCAGACTTGCGTTCCTTCACTGTGAACTCGAGGATAAGGAATAAAGCACCATTCTCTTATCCCCTCCTGGATACTTATATTAGAAAAAAAAAACGTAGTGTAGTACAGTGCTAACTGTGAAATACATTTGTAATGCACCATAAAAGTAAATAAAAGGAATACACAAATACAGTTACATAGATTATCATACATGGCAGCATGTGTAGATTATTATTATTATTATTATTATAATCAAGGGGGAAGCGCTAAACCCGTAGGATTATACAGCGCCCAGGGGAGGGGGGATGTGGAAGGCATTCAGGCTTAATTCGGGGAACTGGAGCACAGATCCAGTTCCCTAAATCAAGAGCCCCTCACCAACATCAAGGAACCTTCCATGAGGGGATATGTGTAGAGAACCTGGGATAACCCAAAAAAAAGTCAGTGACTTATTTTCTCTTTTTTTTTGGGAGGGGAGGGGGGGGGATCCGCGCTCGTTTTTGTCGATTACTTCGGAAGCAAGTTATTCATAAATTACAGTAATTATGACTGTGATAAAATCGGATTAGCAATGTTTTATCAGCAGGTGGTGCACAAACAGCTTCTCGCAGTGCCTGTACCCGACAAGGGCTTGACATATATGATTTTTGATAAAAAAATTTCTTTTAGTTGTTTGATGGGCTATCTTATTGAAACTTGGGCAACATATGATGAAAAGATTCTTCTTAACGTACACCAAAAATTAAAGAAATCAGAATATAAGTAACGGAGTTCACTTCTCAGCCATAAGGCGTCTCTTAAAACTCTAAAAAAAAAAAAACTGCTTACTACAAACGATTCGTAGGTTTTCTCAGTGTCATTCAAGTTTTTTACATTTTGTTAACTATTTTTGTGCTTAGAAATCTTAAAAAAAAAAAAACAATATTTACACACAGGTCGTAGGGGTCTGGAACGAATTATGGTTGTGACCAGAGGTTCCACTGTATTATGATATATTGTTTTAACATCATGGGATATTGATTATTCATTATTAATAAATTATGGTGCATAGTTTTACCATCATAGAATATATATATTATTTGCTGTCTTTATTTTATTCTTCACTTTAATTAAAAGGACATGATTTAAAATATATTTGGATAATGGGAACTAGACACATTATCACTGGTCCTTGATATTTTCTCACAGTACCACCACCGCCACTGAGCTGCTGGTTCACAGACATAACACAAACCACGGCGTCTCTGAACTGGCAAGACGACGACATTGCCTGTATGATCACTAACCACAGTATTATTTGGTGGTGGGACGTCCTATGGAATGATGAAGTTGGATTAGAGGAAACTTTCATCGCGCTGAATCACATTAACCTGACTAACCTTTCTCCCTACACTAATGTCACAGCTGGTGTAGCAGCCGCCACTGACAGTGGTTATGGTGCGCCCACAACTTGCTGGGGTCTTACACTTCAAGACAGTAAGCAAATTGCCTTAATTTTATGTATTTTATATTAGTTATAATGGTTCTGTAATTATATGTATATATGTATATATATATATATATATATTGATTATTCATTATTAATAAATTATGGTGCATAGTTTTACCATCATAGAATATATATATTCCTTGCATATATATATATATATATATATATATATATATATATATATATATATATATATATATATATATATATATATAATATATATATATATTTATATATATATATATTATATATATATATATGCAAGGAATTCGCAAGAGCAGGCGAAATATACACAAACACCGATATTTCGTGTATATTTCGCCTGCTCTTGCGAATTCCTTGCATTGTTAAACTCTCTAGTAAGGCTGATGCATGCAGGGGATGAGATGAAAAGCTGTAAGCCTTCTCCCTGAAAGCTGGCTGCCTTGGATCAAAGTCTAGTGCAAGCTGGACTCCAAGGTATTGGTCCAGTGTGGTGAGTTTGGTATAGCACTGCGTACCTTGTTCCAAGGTTCGTAGGTTCGAGTCTCCTTCAACCAGAGATCAGTGTTTATTATATATATATATATATATATATATATATATATATATATATATATATAATATATAAAGCAAATATTTCAAATGCCCCTTCAAACCGCTACATCCCCAGCCTCCTCCAGGATTTGAGTTTACCTGGAGAGAGAGTCTTGCAAATCTGTTTCCCCAGATTCTATTCATACATCTTTTTCAGTGGTTCATATCACTAGTGTTGTGGATCATATCAGTGGTGTTGTGGATCATATCACTGGTGTTGTGGATCATATCACTGGTGTTGTGGATCATATCACTAGTGTTGTGGATCATATCACTGGTGTTGTGGATCATATCACTGGTGTTGTGGATCATATCACTGGTGTTGTGGATCATATCACTAGTGTTGTGGATCATATCACTGGTGTTGTGGATCATATCACTGGTGTTGTGGATCATATCACTCGCGTTGTGGATCATATCACTGGTGTTGTGGATCATATCACTGGTGTTGTGGATCATATCACTGGTGTTGTGGATCATATCACTGGTGTTGTGGATCATATCACTGGTGTTGTGGATCATATCACTGGTGTTGTGGATCATATCACTCGCGTTGTGGATCATATCACTGGTGTTGTGGTCATATCACTGGTGTTGTGGATCATATCACTGGTGTTGTGGATCATATCACTGGTGTTGTGGATCTTTATCACTCGCGTTGTGGATCATATCACTGGTGTTGTGTCATATCACTGGTGTTGTGGATCATTTTCACTGGTGTTGGGGGATCATATCACTGGTGTTGTGGATCATACACTGGTGTTGTGGATCTTATCACTAGTGGTTTGTGGATCATATCACTGGTGTTGTGGATCATATCACTGGTGTTGTGGATCATATCACTGGTGTTGTGGATCATATCACTCGCGTTGTGGATCATATCACTGGTGTTGTGGATCATTATCACTGGTGTTGGGGATCATATCACTGGTGTTGGGGATCATATCACTGGTGTTGTGGATCATATCACTGGTGTTGTGGATCATATCACTAGTGTTGTGGATCATATCACTGGTGTTGTGGATCATATCACTGGTGTTGTGGATCATATAAACTGGTTTTTGTGGATCATATCACTCGCGTTGTGGATCATATCACTGGTGTTGTGGATCATATCACTGGTGTTGTGGTTTCATATCATGGTGTTGTGGATCATATCACCTCGCGTTGTGGATCATATCACTGGTGTTGTGGATCATATCACTGGTGTTGTGGATCATATCACTGGTGTTGTGGATCATGTCACTGGTGTTGTGGATCATATCATTGATACTGTGGTTCATATTTCTGGTGCTAAGTCAATACTAAACATGGAAACACGAGGGACCAGAAGACTGATCATCCTATTCCTTCTTCTGAGAATGGAATACGGGGACACAACTTTATACAGACCTAAGCGAAGTAGTGGAACTAGTAATATAATTAAAAACAGTGGTCGCTGTTGCAATGGTAACAGCATTGATAGTAGTAGTAGTAATACTGCTTTACTAGTATTAACAGTAGTACTAGAGGTAGCAATTTTAGTAGTCATTCGTCGCTCAACCCCCGGGACGAGCGGACGTTTTGCTGAGCCCGCCCCCTATGTCAGCCGGTGGATACTTGATTTTTGCAAAATGACGCAGCAGGGTAGACACCCGGGGAAACACTGTCGGCATTGAAGTGGTGCGTGGGGCTGTTTGCCCACTCAGCTCAGTTTTATTACCTGCCATCATCAGAGGCACATACGGTTTAGCAAATGAAGAGCTGTGTGGTGTGGCATTAAATGGTGCATACCGGTCATCGTGAAATTTTGTAATACAATGTATATGAAGAGAAGGTCGACTGCTTCCAGGATATTTGTATGCCAGTAAATCCTGCTTCACGGTGAGGCTCCATGGGCGTGTCTCGTCATTACACATGAGTGAAGATAAGGAAAGTGCCTCTTGATGCTGATGAGGCAGATCTGCATACAGTTTTTGAGGAAAAAATGGGCCCGTTCACATGGCGACGTTGGGGTTTCATGGAAGGAAGGATCGTATGCGGGATGCCAGAGGAAGTTTCTCTTGAAGATGACGTTCCCGGCATCCCATTCCTTCATACGTTCAACTGGATGGCTTCACGACGCAAGTAATGTGGAGGAATCTATACATCACCTCGCCCCACACTCTGTAAATTAGACACATATGCAATTTTTGGGTATCTTTATTGAGGAAACGTTTGGCCACACAGTGGCTTTATCATCCATACAAAGGAAAAACGTGAACAACAGGTGGAGAATGAGGGTAATCAGTCCCTAAAACCTTGAGTCGATGTGGTCGCTTGCACGACCTACTTCCATATTGGACAAATGTGGCACCACCTACGACTGCTGCACCTCTCCTGCCTACGGTATATAAGCTACTTCTCTGCACATATGCTGTATTCTATTGAAGATTGATGGACTGACCACATTGACTCAAGGTTGAGGGACTGATTACCTCATTCTCCACCTGTTGTTCACGTTTCTCCTTTGTATGGACTGATGAAGCCACTGTGTGGCCAAACGTTTCTTCAATAAAGATACCCAAAAGTTGCATATGTGTCTAATTTATCAGAGTGTGAGGGAGGCGATGTATAGATTCCTCCACAGGCTCTTACCGTCCGGGGTGGTATTGTGCAATAGACGGGTCAGGAGGGATGGGGAATGTCAAGAGTGTGGGGAAGATGAATCTACTTTTCATGAAATTTATTTTTGTGAACGTCTCGGGGTTGTGCGTAAATGGATAGGTAGAGTATTCCGGTTCGTGGGGGGGAGAGGGTTATCGGTTTTGAGAGCACTTAGTTTAAATGTAGGTGGGGTAGGAGTAGAGGTCCAGAGAGAGGTGGCTTAGTTGTTTTGATGCGCAACAAAGGGGTGGAGGAACGCAGGATGGTAGATCAATGGTTAAGAGAACCGACACGTTGATAAATTAGACACATGTGCAACTCTTGGGAATCTTTATTGAGGAAACGTTCCGCCACATAGTGGCTTCATCAGTCCATACAAAGGAGAAACTTGAAGAACAGTAGGAGAATGAGGTAATCAGTCCCTCAGCCTTGAGTCGATATGGTCAGTCCATCAATCTTGAATAGAATACGGCATAAGTGTGGAGAAGGAGCTTATAAACCGTAGGCAGGAGAGGTGCAGCAGTCGTAGGTGGTGTCACATGTGTTCAATGTGGAAGTAAGTCGTGCCCAAGGGTTAGGCAAGCGAAGAATTCCCAAGTATTAAGAACCACCCAGATAGTCGCGGACAGTAGGCTCATGATATTCATAACTTGCCTCCGCCGACCTTGCTCTTTCAAAACATACGCAGAAGTCTTATCTCCCCACATAACATCTGCTAACCCACTAACTACTCTCGCACCTTGGAATACCTGATTTTGTAACTCTCGAATAGACAGTTTTAGATTCTGAATAGTTCCTATCAGATATACTGCTTGTGACACATAACATTCACTTAATTGAGCCTGCAAGTACTCAATCAACCCATAATGGTGAGGATGTATTTCCTTCCTTATGCCTATAAAGAAATCCCTAACCTTACTCTTATCGACCCCATCCCACCACTCGACTATATCCCTTGGAAGTATATCTCCACCTAACATGTCCCAATGACCTGCAAAAAACGTCCGTCTGTGCCAATAAACTCACATTCATTTTCCAAAATCCTCGATATAGGCGCGACAACCCCTCCCAAGTGACATCCGCCAAAACCGCAGAAAGATCCGAAAAACTGATCGCCAAATTCCACGCATTACATTACGTATAACTGAACGAACTAACGAAAGTTCAGGTAAGATCCCAAATGGGATGAGCGGGGAAGACGGGACAGACGAAGAATAGTGCTGGAGAGGAGTGTTCTTAGTCGTAGAAATAGAGCCAGGGCTTAACCCAGCAGCGAAGGCGATCGTGGGACAGATATTGAGAAGAGAAATTCAGCCTCTTCTGTTGGGACTCCGGTGGGGTGATAGGGGAGGAAGGGACATGCGACGTTTAGCGCTAGAGAGGAGTGTAGAACTGAGCCATGTCTTAACCCAAAAGCTAAGGCGAACGTGGGTCAGAGAATGGTACCTGTAATTACCTGTCAGCGAATCCAAGGTTATTTGTAAATAGGGTTAGGAGCAGGATTATGCAAGGAGTAGAAAAGTTTGTGTTGGTTTGTGGGTCTGCGAATGTCTTCGTCAAGGAGAGAGGTCCAGTAGTCATGTCGTGTCTCAAGTTTGTCTATCTGTCTGTCACTTAGAGTCTTCCAGTACAGATTCAGCGCAGGGATGTCTAATTGGGCATGGAGAGACTCGCTTGTGGCGAAGTCCTCCCATTTGACATCAAGCACCCAGCGCAGCGCCTTGTTCTGGACCCGCTGCAGTTTAAGTAAGTTTGTTTTTGCTGCAAGAGAGAGGGCTAGAGGAGA